GTGAGCAATTGCACTGTGCATCACTTGCTTTGTGTATTATTATTATTATTATCGTATTATTATTATTATCATTTTATTTCAATTATTAAACTGGTTTTATCTCAACCCACGAGTTTTTCTAACTTGTGCTCTTCCAATTCTCTCCCCCATCCCACCGGGTGGGGGGGAGTGAGCGAGCGGCTGCATGGTGCTTAGTTGCCGACTGAGATTAAACCATGACAAAAAGAAAAATAAGCATATAAATATTTGAAAAATAAAGAGGAATATTAGAAAAAGGCATCAAGTGAAAGTATATTTATTGAAGCAAGTGAACTGCCAGGTCTCACCTCTTCCAGACTAAAAAGCACGCCTCCAATCGGAGCCCCAAAGGCAACAGAAACTCCTGCGGCAGCTGCAGCCGAGAGCACCTACAAAGCAAATATTTACGTACAAGGCATGAGTCCTTCGAAACACCGAGTATCTGGGCAGGGAAATTGGAGATGATTTGAGCCAACCTCACCTCTCTCCTCTTTCCTTCATTCTTGCTGTACTTTGAGAAAAGGCTGCTGAAGAAGTTTCCGCAGCAACAGGCCACGTGGACTAACGGCCCCTCTTTCCCAAGGCTGAGGCCTGAAGATACCACCAGAACCAAGGTGACTGTTTTGATTAAGAGTGTCCACTTTCCCAGGTAGCCCCTAATAATGAACCCACTCAAGATGGTTTTTATCTGGAAAGCAGGAAGAACATGTTGAAGAGCTGAAGAAACCTTTTCTACTCTGAACTTGCAAATGGAGTTAAATCCCCAGCGGAGTTAAAAAAAATTGCAGACTCCTTGAAAAGAGACAGTGACGGAGGGAAAGAAACCGTAGGTAGGGCAACTTTCCCACAGTGATAGCTGAGCAGGGGTTAAGCAGACCACACTTTTACCATTCTTATGGGTGGTCCCCTGCGTCGGTAAGGAGTCTTACAGAGATCAGTAGAAATACGAAACTGTTACGTATCTCCTTGGCTTACAGGATCAGAGCTAAACTAGACCCGACTTTAACAAAGCAGAAAAAAGCAAATAAACAACCACAGACTTTTCCCAGTTAAAACAAGGAAAAAAAGTTCTAAATATTTGGAATGGCCATGCCATAAAAGCATGCAAGTATTATGAAATGAGAAAGTCCAAGAGATCTTATTTTTACACATTTCCTCTCAATTTTGCATGTGAGTGGCTAGAATAGAGCACAGTGCACGTGCATGACACACTGGCTGCAGGGTAGGATTTGGGTTTGGACTCTAGCCCTGGAAATGGACTGAGCTGAGCATCACCTCACATGAGAGATTCACCACTTGGAAACTAGATGTACAGTTAACTATGAAAACTTTTTAAAAACACTTACAGCTATATCAAATATGTAACAAACACACACATGTGACTACTTTGAAACATAGAAATTATTTAAATATTTAAAATTATTTGTGGTGGGTTTTTTCCCTGATTGGCTATGAAACATTTGGATGCTTCCCCTAGAGATGAAGAAAAAAAGTATGCCAAGATTTCTAAAATTTGGGCTGTTGATTCTGTCTGCCAGATTCCTAAGTAATAATCCCAGTGGTTCTACAGCACTTTTAACAAAACACTGCCCCGATTTCAAAAATTTTGTGTAGCTATGCTGCTTGAATTACAGGGTTCCTCATTTTAACAGCTTAAATAGGGACTGAGGCTCAATATGTAAAATATTGAAAACCAAGTAGAGATTTTGGCTGCCATAATGCTGTCATGCCAGCATGACATGGTGTACAAGGACACAATTTGTGGAAGATGGACAGCCAGACACTTTTCAGGCATCCCAAATGATGGGCAACTTGCATCTTCTGTAGCTTAGGAAACCTTACTTTTGTAGCCCTCCCTCTTTATTTTATTTTGGTTTTATTTAAAGCCTAGCCTAGAAAATGACTGCTTTTGTAACTGCCCCAAGTAATTTCATCCAAGGAAAATTCTGTATAATCTTCTAGTGAGTATGTGCCTCAGCCACAAAAAGTTGGAGTCCGTAAAGTGATGACTGGGAGCTGTTGATTTTTAATTCAAGCTCCGGCAATGAAGAAGTATGTACGTTAACTTGTCACAGTGGCATTTGAACATTTTCTACTATGAAAAACTTAGATGGCCACCATAAAAGCATGTTAGACAAAGGAATGAAGGCAGATGAGATGGAAAGACAATCTTCTTGTTCCTATGCTGCCTCATAGTACAGTTCTGGAATAGGAAATGGCGGCAAATATTATCTTTTCTTTGTTTTGTTTGGTTTTGGATATCCATCCACAAAGAGAAACTCACCTCTGGGATTCCAGAGCCACAGGCATAGGGAGCAAACACTCTGACCAGGGAGACTGCCAGGAAAGCAAAACATAGAGCCCACATAATGTATAGAAAATAGTTTAGAATGTAAGCACTTGCACCCTAGAAAAATAACAGTAACAAACATTGTTAGACAAATGCAGGTTGGTAAATCTCACACTTCTACTAGGAATCATGATGGCATGGAGCCTGGTCTTTTCATTTACATCCTAGCTGCTGCTTTTCCTCGGGAAGGACAAATGGCTTTATATACTCCAACAATTTTATTACTCATTGAAAGAAACAGCATACTAATATATACCTAACCCAGTCCATACAGTCTGTTTGCAAGGGACCCAAACACCTTAAACAGAGCATCTTTCAAGCACTAAAAAATTAAGCCGACCACAAAAAATTCCCAAACATCAAACAAATCTGTCATAAGGGCAAAAGTAATTGGTAATAAAAAACCACCTAATGAAGGCATCTGCTGTTTCATCCCATGGCAGGTGACAGGGGATGAGACCCTGATACATCCTTTTCTGAGGGCTGGTATTCAAAGGTCAGGTCTCCATGCAGATGCTGATCTTTTCAAATGGCATCCCTGTGTATATCAGCAGCCAGTTCAGTTCGCAAACGGGAAGGGTAAAACCATAAATAAATTCTTTCCTTCTATATGATGCTATCTATGATAGGGTTGAAAATCATTTGAAAACACAATAGCTTGGCAGATCCCACTCAGACACATCTCAATCATTTTTGCCCTGATATTTTAAAAGCATTCCAGTCAATAATAAACCTATCTTCCAACTGAACAGCTTTACTTTACTGACAGAATGGAAATGCTAACCATCATTAGCAACGGTTGACCGTGCAGTGCCACAGTGAAAGCATAGTCAGTAGTGACCTTCAAGCTTTCCACCTGTCCCCAATGGTCAAGTCAAAACTGTTGTTAAAATCTGCCTTGGAATACCCCTCCCTCTTCACGAGCATAATTTTTTACATTAATTTCAAAAACCCCACCTACACAGACAAAAGAGAATCTAGTCAGAGGCATCGAATTGGTACAAGGATCTTAAGCCTTCAAACAATCTCCTCTAGCAACATGACACTACAGAATAAAAAACAAGATGAACCTCAGCGCATGAATTGGTATGAATCCTTCACCTCTAAGTGAACTCTTCCTACCGGATGCAATCCCAGCTGCTCAAGAACATCGGGGCCCCTGTCTTTGCTCTGCAGGACGGCAGCCTGGATATCAACATTATGATAAATCAAGTAGGAAAACAGGCATTAATCAGTTGTATCGTGTCTTCAGCTAACAGAGCTGGCCAGGCCCAGTTCCCAGTCATAAAAAACCTAGAGCTGAGAAGTCTCCCTGTTTGCAAGCCTGCAAGGAAACACCCTTTAACAGTACGAATGCTTGCTAGCCTCATTTTCCAGGTCTCTGTCCCATTGAAAAGACAGTAAGGGAACCACTGCCCTTATCCTTATGGGTATATTTGGAAGAAGGGCAATTTGTTAAGGTCCTCTTGTGCTTGCTGAAGTTAGCAGATGGCTTTGCTAATAACAGCAGAAGAGCGATACGATGCCATCCCCCAATGCCCTAAGACTAAGCAGTCATGGATCCCACACTTACAGTGATTGACATCCATCTGTAGTAACCATGGATCTTTGTTGCTACAGCTGAAGACGGTCTCATTTCCTCATGAATGTCTTCTCCTAGTGCTTTCAATTACAAACAGCTATGGCAATATTTACTCTTCCTCTAGAGAAAACTCTGGATATGTTGCCCCAGGGCAAAATTCTCCTGTCAGTGTGAACCTGGAGTAACTCCAAAGACGACCAATGTCATTACAGCAATTTGGCCCTACAACGTTGATTGAAAGCTCCAGTTTTGCTTCTAAATTCACTGGAGTCAAATTAACTTGGTTTCTTTTTACCTCCTCTTTTTTCACATCTCAGAAGTCACATGAAAACTATGTCAGCTCGTTACTGCAATCACACATACACACCTACAGCACTGTGGCAGGACCCCAGAAGAGTCTATATGGTCAGTTCAGTCTTATCCCTTGGGACAACTCTCTCTGTTACATTTTCCAGATAACTGGCATTCTGCAGGTCCAATTGCAGGAGTTTCTAATGATTAATAATAAGAAAACCTTTGGGAAGTGAAGTAGTAGTAACTCAGTATAGCAAATGGCTCATTTCTCATTCATTATATGCCATTACTAAGGCCCTAAATCAGTAAAAATCTTAAGCCTGTACACTGGAATCAGAGGCCAAAAACACACATCAGCAGAGATGATTCTGCTAAGACCTTTTCCACTAGGGGCTCGTAGGACTTACCCTGGCAGCAACAGTAATGAAGCATGCAGGGGAACTCAGCAAAACTTTGTGTTTTAGTTTGCAAGACCTAGCAGTATTTCAGATCTGGTGTCAGTCCAGTTTAGGTACAAATGAAGCACAACTGAAAACAACTCTCACAAACTCAGAATACTGAAATAAAACACATCCCTCAGGATGACATCCATGGCTGACCAATGCTTGTTTTCTCCAGAGGCTGAGCGCTCTACTCTGACTTGACTTGGGATCTCACAGCTTGCAGACTCCCTCCGGTGGACATTACAAATTGGGAAGTGGGTTCCAGGTATAGAGGGGCTTCCTTGTCTTGCAGGTCTCAGCTTCATGACAGGAGATCCAGAAGCCCAGGGATGGGAATCCAGTCCATTGCTGGATCCAGTGTCACGAGCCATGGAAGACATGGGGCCCTTTCCTCTGCTTTGGACAGATGTGAGGCACCAGAAATGAGGTCCTCAGCTCCAGTGATGTTCAAGTTAGGACCAACCTAGATGTGCAGAATAGGGAAGCTCTGGGTCACCAGATACTTGCTAGAGATCTAGCTGAAGGGGATGGCATCTGACGCGCTTTAACACACCCGCTCCTCCAGTGAGTTTGAGGTTTTGAAACTCTCTTGCATCAAAAAACTCTTCACCTGCTCTTTGGAAGTAGTTCAGGACCGGAGGGATGACGGTTATCATTGGCCTACAAAACAGCAACTAGGGAAGAAAACATAGCCTGGTATGTTTCGGATGTGCTATTATGTTTTCCATAATAATTTGTATCAAGACTCTGCTTTGGGCTCATTTTATAGGAGGACTAGAATGAAAACATTTTTCAAGAGATGCCATAGGAAACGCCACAATTCTCAGTGAAAACATATGTACAGGGCTTATCACAGCCATAAATTGGCAAAACCACAAGGTAGAACTGATCTAAATCTTAGTCCTCAAAATGTCAAACTTAGTTGTCTGTGATGAGAAAGAGTCACAGTCGTGCATAAAAAAGACTTGTCTGACCAGGGTACCTTTAAGGAAACTGTTCCAAGTGCTTTCTGTCTAAAATGTGCTCCAAATTAGTCCTTCTGTGTACTGTGCATTTTATAAGGCTGCTACCCAAACATCAGGCACAAAATAAAGCAACATACAAAAAAAAGGCAAAATTATCCTGAAATGCAGTCAAATTCCGTGTATTTTGATCCCTCCTAGAGTCCTCTACAGCTACAGGAATCATGCAAGACTTGCCCATATCCTAAGCCTTTTGCTACAAAACAGAATTTTTACTTTCCATATTCACATTTTTGTTGGGCTTTGCCTGGGATTTCAATGTGACAGTAATAGACAGCTATATTATTAATATTTACAGCATCCATCGGGCCGTGGCAGCCAGAAACCCACAGATCTTAGAGGCCCATTTGTTTTGAAGAGGAGCCTAAAACTAAGGCAAGATTAACCTTTTTTTTTCCATTGTGACAGTATACTAGGGGGTGAGAAACCCAATCTGAATACAAAGTGAGTAAAGTTTCACAGTGCCCACCTAGCTGATACCTTTCTTATCGGCCCCAGCATCCAACAGTCATGACTGCTGATTTTGAGTAGCAGGTGAAAGCAATAAATTTTCTCAAGGATATGCTCTGTTCATATATCCCAGCCTTTCAGAGTAACAGCATGTCAAACACATGCACAGGATTTCCAAATCCCATAACAATTGTAACATTCTCCTTCTTTTTTCCCTTCCCACATATTTTTGTTCTCTTAAATTACAACATCGTCCCCAGTCCTGCAACTTTATACCAGGGTAATATTTCTTCACTGTTACAAAGACACAACCACCCAAACCATCTGTTGTTGAAGACCGGTGTGAACCTAGCAAAGCCCTGGCAAAGGGAAGCTTGGCACTGTGGACTGGCACCTGTGCAGAGAGATTTCTGCCTGTGATCAAATGGTGGGAATATTCAGGAACAGTGAGCACCCCGCTACTTTCACTACGGTTAATTAGAACTATGGAAAATTGGGCTATACTTATTCACAGATGCTTTAATCTGGTACTACTCGTACTGTAAACCTGAAGTGGCACGGAAGGGAATGTGAATGACAAACTTGTATGGCGGTGAAGGTGCCCTCAAACACTTTCTGCAGGACCAGACCACCTCCACACTGGGGGAAGATCCGAGACAGTCTCTCCAAGTCACCCATTTTTTAATTGCCTGGCTGGAGATGACTTCTCCCATAGAATTATATCTTTTCTTCTCCTATTATTGACCAAACTGCATTACCAGATATTTTTTTTAGAAGTCCGATTGCATACTTAAGCCAGTTCTGTTCAAAGCCACATTCATCCCACCTCCATGTCATATTCCATTTTTGTCATATTCAAGTCACCTGTAGACATGGGGGGGAGGAGGGATTCAAGACAACAGTTCTGCCAAAAAAATCTGAGTTGTGAAGGGATCAATATTATTCAATACATTGAATAGCTTAGACTGAAAATAAAATGTCCTTTTGATATTTTTTATAGAAGTATCATCTGCTAAAAGGAGTATAGAAAGGCTTCTTCTGATGTCTTAAAAACAAAACTTTCACCTGCTTTGCTTTGAAACAACATTCTTTGTATTTAAAATTACTACAATTTACAAAAAAGGATAGGAAAAAAGTTCTTAAAATATAAGTTTCATGTCAATCCAGATCTGCTTTTCCCTTCCTGTCCTCTCCCCCTGCAAATTTTTCACTTTGGCCATGTCCTGGTTTCGGCTGGGATAGAGTTAATTTTCTTCCTAGTAGCTGGTACAGTGCTGTGTTTTGGATTTAGGATTGGGGAGTTGACTGGGGGGACCCAGCCACTGCTCAGGAACTCTGGGGGCATCGGTTGGCAGGTGGTGAGCAATTGCATTGTGTATCACTTGTTTGGTATATTCTTATCATTATTAGGAACTGACTGGGCATCGGTTGGCAGGTGGTGAGCAATTGCATTGTGTATCACTTGTTTGGTATATTCTTTTATCATTATTATTATTATTTTCCCTTCCTCTTCTGTCCTATTAAATTGTCTTTATCTCAACCCACCAGTTTTACCTTTTCTCCGATTCTCTCTCCATCCCACTGGGGGGGAGTGAGCAGACGGCTGTGTGGTGTTTAGCTGCCTGCCGGGTTAAACCCCAACAGGCCACCTCCCAGGGAGCCTGTTATTTCCCCAGCTTTTGGTGCTAGCTAAATATTTTGCTGTCTGATAGAGAAACTGATTGCAAGGGCATAACAAGCAGTTCTTATGCAGCTCCCACTACTACTCACGGCATTTGAATACATCAAATCCATCTGCAATCCCAAAAATTTCCTCTTAAATCTATTTGTCAGGGATCATCTTTTTCGTCCCATAAGATCATGTTTAAAAGAAAAAAAAATGGATAGCAGCTCAGGTCCGCTGGTGGTTATTTTATGAGTGTTATGAAACACTTTTGGTTTAATACCGATAAAAAGAGAGAGCGATCTCACAGTTTTCCAATTTCCACCACACGTGACACTGAAACAATAGGACCTCTCCCGAGTTAAGTAGACACTGCTTGTGGAAATGTCTTTTTTTGCAGCGCTCTCAGTTCATTACTTTCTCTTTCAGAGAAATTCTCTGGAGGGAACATCAGCAAGTATGAAAAAAGGGCATTCCCCGGCCTGCTGTGACCCCAACCTAATCAGGTCTCCCGTACCTCAGACTGGCTTACAAGAAGTTCAGACCATTTCTGCCACTGGGGACATTTGTCCCTGTCATCAAATGTAGTTTCATTAGACGTCCAGCAGCACTGCTCGTGGCTGTACCAGAAGGCAGACAGGCAGACACCCTCTTTCAGGTCTGTCATCCAATCCACAGCTAAATCTATCACTCCGGCTAATGTGCCTGGAAAAAGAAATGCGGAAAAAGAAACCATGGCATTAAAAAATATCACAAAGTCACAAGGAAAATATATCTAATTATAATAACAGCAAAAACTCACGATTTGGGGAAGCAGCTGCAATGTAAGCACAAATATACCAAACAACTGGGGGTAACAGTGAGTTCACAAAGAAACGGCCACACCAACATGTTGTCTGACATTCAGTGTTCTCTCGGAAAGCTTTTATTTTAAATATTATCATTTTCATACTGACTGATTGCCAAATAGGGAAGGCATAACCGATGTAGGGCCTGATCCTGCAGTCTGTGCCAGGCAGGTGCACCATTTGACTGAGATAAGCAGGACTTCACGCGGGGTGTCTGTACACATACTAAGCTGCAGGTCTCAGACCACGCTGTATTTCAGGGGTAGGGGAGGAGGAGGAGACGTATGTTTTCCTATAGCCTTACCGGTCCCAACGCAGCAGCCTTTTAGAAGGATGATTTCAGTACAGAAACAATATGGATGCCAAATTCTGACTTATGAACTTAACGGAATCGGGCTCTCGGTGTGTACATTCATTAGCAATCCAAACGCAGAATAAAATTATCCTCCAAATCCTCTCTGTACCAAACTAACCCTTATTTCAGTTTTTCCCCAGTACTTACACAGAGCTACAGTGACACCCGGTGGCCACCGGACACACAGAAGGGTGAAATTGATGTGGCCAGGCACAAAAAAGAAAATCATAGAATCATAGAATCATTGAGGTTGGAAAAGACCTCTAAGATCATCGAGTCCAACCATCGACCCAACACCACCATGCACACTAAACCGTGTCCCTAAGCGCCTCATCTACTCGTCTTTCAAATACCTCCAGGGATGGGGTCAACCACTTT